CAACAGCAGAAAGACTTACATGCAGAACACCCAAGTCAGGGAGATGCACCCACTTACTCTAGGGAGAGACACTCCTTGGAGCAATCGGCCATGGAGCACCAGAGGGGCAGCGTTCACATGGAGGGAAAGCTGAACAGACAGGAGTGAACAGTTAAGACGGGCACAGGGGAGGAGAGGGGTCACAGAAGAGGGAGGGGAGGAGAGTGGGCTAGGATTGGGGATGGTAATCAGGGTGTGAAATCCAATGTACATGAAGTGTTGAATGTAAAACAAATTCTGCTCTGTAAATTTGCACTCAAAGCACGTTACAAAAAAAAAAAAAAAAAGATAAGCAAAGAAGTAGATTTTGAATATATTTTTGATGTGTTTCCCTTCCACTTAAGGCCCATTTTACTTTCTGCTTCAGGCTCCAACAAGGGTTGGCACTGCACTAGTCTTTTTAAAACTTTTTGACATTTTGTTCAGCATGGAATTTTTGCACTAATTCTGATTATTGAAAATTCTAATTTCCAACAGCGTTTCTTTTAATGACTGAGTTGTGATGCCCCTCACACACCTCACCCTACCCCCGCCCTGCTCTGGTACCTCTGTTCTGTTGCAAACTCCTGCATCCAGTACGACTATCCTCTTTGATTAACCTTCGATTCTCACCCCCCTATTTCCACGCATCCATATGGCAAAGAGAGGACAGCAAATCTATTTTAAGTACCTTTGAAGGAAAGAACATCTAATTCTGATCAATATACCAGATAAGCAATTGAAAACTGGAAGTTTCGCATCCTTTGTGATACAAATCTCCTTTAATCTCTTTGGCATCCTGTGTTGGGTGAAGCCACAAATGTTAAGTAGACAAGCACCAGAAAAATCATAAATCTTCCTTTTACTCCCTCAATTCCCAGCGTTGCATAAAGAAGGGAAAAATCCAAACCAGAACAAAACATTACGTTCCCAAATATCACAACATGTTTGATCTTTCAAAATTATGACAAACATTTTCTTGTTGTTGGTCATAAACTTTTGAAAACTTGTTTCTTCGTCCCTCCAAAGAAAATCTTGTGCAGTTTCCACTTGGCATCACAGGGTACTACCCCCTCTTTTTTAGAAACAAACAAACAAAAATCAATCTCAACCTTTTAGCTGATTTTTCACTAAGTAAGGGCTGCACAAGAACCCTGTCCATGCCCGCTGTGCCGTGGCTCACCCAGGTGCCCGACCTCATTACCTGCAAGCATGCAGGAACCTCTAGGTCCTCCCAAAATCTACCTGCACTGTGGCAAGCAGCTCATCTTCCCCATCTGTGCCACTGCCATTCACTCTCTGTCTCAGAACCAACACAACTCCCTGATGTCTATCAGACATGCACGTACAGGTGGGCTTTGCTTGCAGACATAACGCAACAGTTCAAAGTGGATGCTTTATTAAAGCTGTATTGCTTTTGTCGATTGCTATCTTGTGGAAGCCAAGGTAGAATCGAGTGATACCCAAGTCTTTGGTCAGTGGTTACAAATGAACAAAATGGTGAAATCTGAAGTAACCTGATAGCACATGCATTGGACACAATTCTAAGAGTACAACTCTATCAGACTGGTACCAGCTTTTCTGTCTCTAGTTTATGGATGAGGAAACTAAGACAGAAGGAGATTAATGACTATCCCCAAGACCACACAGCTAATAGCAGTAGAACTGGAATTCAAACTCAGCTGGTCTGGCTCTGGATCTGAAGCTTGTAACCAGTGTGTTATACTACAAAGCTATCACTGGAACACTGTGTTATTGATGGATAACTGATATGACAATGCAGCCAGCACCGTACGGCAGCTTGGGAGACCAAAATCTATCATCACTGTAAGCTACTGTCACTGCCTCTTGACTTAAGCATTATCTCTTAGCCAGCCCTGGTGGTGCAGTGGTTAAGTGCTTGGCTGCTAACTGGAAAGAGAGCGGTTCAAACTCTCCCTGCGGAAGATGTGGCAGTCTGGTTCCATAAAGACAATAGCCTTGGAAACCCTATGGGGTAGTTCTACTCTGTCTTACAGAATGTCTATAGTTGGCATAATCTCAATGGCAGTGTGGGTTTGGTTTGTCCCTCTGTCTGGTCAGCCTCCTTCTTATGCCCCAGCCAGCCAACATATTTACTGTTCCAGCCAGGGCCTGGTTCAAGCTCCCCAACTCTCCTCCTCAGTCTTTGAAGTTCACTGCAAATCCTTCCTCTTTCTGAAAGCCAGCCCCGAGACTACAGGTCACACCTCTTTCCCTTCTTCACACTGCATGTGGCTTTCCAGTCTGTAACAGTGATTCCCTTCCTTTCTCAATACACAAATCCCTTTGGAATGTCAAAAGTCTCCGAGTCCCTGTGTGCCAGGTAACCCACGTGGTGCTTCTAAGCCAGGGAACCCCAGCCCTGGTGGCGAATTCAGTCACACAGGGAGCTTAGAACCAAAGGAATCAGCAGCTCTGGGGGTGGTGATGGGACTCTGTCAGGCTCCCCAGGTGATTCCAGTAGGCAGGCAAGTGTGGTCTAGCATATCCTGTTTTGCACTGAGACATCCTTCCTAACATGCTGCCTATGATGGTGACCCTTGAGGCCTCCAACAAGTCTGCAAGCTCTTCAAGGCAAGAACAAGCCTTGATGTTTGCAGCCCTTGCTAATCCAAGCGTGGATCACAGAGCAGCAGCTGCACCTGGGAGCTTGTTCACAATGCAGATTCTTAGGCCCCCGGATCCACTAATTCACTAACAGTATTTGAGCAGGATCTCCTGGAAATTGTATTATAAATGAAGCTTAATGAGAGGCTCACAAATAGAAATGTTGCCACGTCTGTTTTCTTGCACAAGGGAAGGAGATGAATGAGTTCATTAAAGTTTTGCTGATAGAGGATCTGCTGTGAAGAAAAGCCATTGGTTAGCTGAAATTAGAAAGCATACCATCACGAGGGTAGAAGTCTCAGAAAGATTTAACCGAGCCCAACTGTGATATGAAAAACCAGGCTATGATCAGACCAGCCCATTTGCTGTAATCTGAAGATGGTTTACGTCACCTGGTGGTACTTGGGGTCTGAATCCAGGCAAGCTGTCTTCCTTGAACCTGAATATGGCCTGATAATGATGAGTGCAGAGGTGGGCTATTTAAAAGATGCATTTGAAAGGGTGACCCAATTAAAAGTTCTCTGCTTATCAGTGAGTAAGAAATGGGGCAAAGTCGAATTTAGCTGGTGGCTGCTAAATGAAAGGTCAGCAGTTTGAACCCACCCAGGGTCTCCATGGGCACAGGCCCTGGAGAGCTGCTCTGGTAAAGATTACAACCTAGGAAATCCTATGGGGTAGCTCGATTCTGTAACACATGGGGTCACTATGAGTCAAAACTGACTGCATAGCACCCAAGAAAAACAACATTAACATCCTGACCTGGGAAACAATGGGGACTTCATAATGTAGAATTTCTCTTCACCAAATTGCTTTTAGCAGTCTAGGAATTTTTTATATTTAAAATAGCTTTAAATGGAAATTAATTTATTAAATCTGACATCGATACATAGGAATAACTTATCATATGTCATTGCTTCTAAGACACCATTGGGTATAAGACATACCATACTCTGGTAGCGTAGTGCCTAAGGTACTTGACTGCTAACCAGAAGGCTGGAAGTTCAAACCCACCAGCCACTCCTCAGAAGGAAGGTTGGGCAATCTACTTCTGTAGTGATACTGCCTCGGAAACCCAAGGAGGGATCACTATGAGTTGTGTCTGACTTGACGGCATGTAACAACAACAACAACAACAACAATACTGTATATCTGACCAAGAAATGCTATGAATTAAAGTAGGACATTAGTCATTGACTGTTAAGATTCATCCGAAATTCAGAGATGAAAAAATACAGGGAAAATGTGTCTTTGAATTGTTGAAATCCAGTAGATTAGAAATGCATTATAAACGACACTTTCATGAGAGGATAACAGTAACTTTCCTGTCACCAATTCAAGGTCCACTGTCATGGCAGTAACATGGCACTTGGATAATGATGTGGTATTATCTCCTTAACTGACTTTGCCAAAAGCTCAGCACCTCCATCCACTCTGCCTTTGAGTGTGTGTGTGTGTTGGTATTAACCATGAAATCTAACTAATACAAAAATTCAGAGCTTCTCCTTTGGGGATAAAAATGGCTGCCAGTCATTGCCTACAGCATGACATCCATTTTTCTCATTGTAAACATGACCAATGTAGAGACCACTGTGCATTTTTACCAATAGGACACTAGCTACAGGGAACAGGAGAGCCAAGAGGGTGCCTACCTCTAATTCCAAATGGGCCACTAGACCTCACTCGGCTAAGGCCTGTCTTATGGTTCAGCAACATACCACTCTCGCCAGTGGGGCTAAACCCATAAGAGACATCCAGGAGCTGCTTTATCAGCCTCTGAGCACAGCCCTCAGGATTCCAGAAGTAGAATCAATGGTGCACTTCATACTCCCCGGAGCTTCTTGCCAGTGATTTAGGGCTCCCCTTCCCACCACAGGAGCTCTGGTAGCGCAGTGCCTAAGGCACTTGACTGTTAACCAGAAGGCTGGTGGTTCAAACCCACCAGCCACTCCTCGGAAGGAAAATTGGGCAATCTACTTCTGTAGTGATACTGCCTCAGAAACTCAAGGAGGGGTCGTTATGAGTTGGGTCTGACTCGATGGCACACAACAACAACAACTTCCCACCACATGTCCCATCCCCAATAAACACTGTCAAAAGTTCCTAAATGGGCTAAAGGAAGCCAGCGAAGTGGGAGGAGTCCCGGAAAAATCCTATAAAGGGGTTTTAATGTGATAAGAGGACTGGTAAAACTGAAGTATTTTTTGGTTAGGTGGACTGATCAGATCTGCAAAAAATAACCAAAATTTCATTTCAAGTCACACTTCATGGAGTTATGCAAAGCCTTCTAATTCTTTAGAGGTGGAAAGAGAAATTCCCAACACAGATTCAGAAGAGAGAAAAACAGCAATACTCACGATGACTGGGAAGCCTTTCTTCTGAGCAAATAGTCCACAACATCAGGATCGGTCTCCAACAGGCTGATGAGCACTTCGTTCTGGAGATCTGGGGAAACCTGGATGGACCAATGATGTGGCATGAATACAACCATATTGGAAAAGTACAATGTGATCCTTAGCAACTTTACAACAGCATAAAACAGAGCCATACACATTATAAGAGAGCAAAGTGACCTGACTAAAATCAAATCTGTGCCAATGCATACACCCAGTTTAATCCTAAAGACAAGCTGGGTGATTACCAAATTGTCATATTCAATCCAAGTACCACCCCTCCTATGCTGGGAGCAGGTCCAAACTAATCACTCGGATGCCTCTGTTGCTCAGATTACATTTTCTTGGCTTTGAATAAGCAAAATATAGTGGGTTAAGAGGTATGGTGTTCATAATTTATTGTCTAAATGGGGACATTTTCTAGTTCAGATTAGTAATTATGCCAAGAGAACAGGCATATATTATGATTGTCCTGGGCAGTTCTAGAACATGTGGTCAGTCTCTTAAGAGGACAGGCATTTGAGCCAGGCTGCCCATGTTTGAATCCAAGCTCTACCACTTACTAGCTGTGGGATCTTTGACCAAAACCCAAAACCAAGCCCAACGCCATTGAGTCAATTCTCACTCATCGTGACCCCGCAGACAGAGCAGAACTGCCTCATAGAGTTTCCACTGGCCCATAAACCAAACAAACCGAACTCACTGCCATGGAGTCGATTCTGACTCATAGTGACCCCCATTGGGTTTCCAAGGCAGTAAATCTTTATGGAAGTAGATTGCCCCATCTTCCTTCTGTGGAGTGGCTGGTGGGTTTGAACTGCCAACCTTCTGGTTAGTAGTCAAATGCCTTAGGCACTACACCACCAGAGCTCTTTACCTGGCCCATGTTGTTGTTGCTGTTGTTATGTGCCGTCAAGTTGGACCCAACTCATAGCGACCCCTCCTTGGGTACCCGAGGTGGTATCACTATGGAAGTAGATTGCCCCATCTTCCTTCCAAGGAGTGGCTGGTGGGTTTCAACCACCAGCCTTCTGGTTAGCAGTCAAGTGTCTTAGGTACTACGCTACCAGAGCTCTTTACCTGACCCGTCGTAAATACTAAAAACAAAAACCATGCTGGCTGCTGCACTTGCACATGCCACTTTAACATTCTGTGCTGCCTTAGCTCCCTTCCTGGATCCTGGTCCAGCCCCAATTAACAGTTTCTTGCTTCTTAATTCCATGAGGCATTTGCTGGAGTTCAATTGATGAGCAACACATGCTTCTCTAAGGCCAAGCCACAGTGCATTGGAAGACAGCCTCACAGCCCTGACTCACATATATGGGAATGGTCAATGAGAGAACACTGAACCCAGCTCCACTGGCTTTTGACTGTAGATGCTGGTAGTCCAACCAAAGGAAACGGAAACTATTGGGAGAAAATAAAGTTTCAGTCTGACTCTCTCACACGTGGCCTCAGAGAGAAGACTCTTAATGACTGCAAGGGCAAGTCTTCTGAGAATAAGTGGTTGGTGGAAGAATTTGCCTCGTGCTTCTTGCAGAACTCAATTGCTATTGAGTTCTGTGAAGCTGGAAACAATTTTATTAATAAAAACAGGGATGAGAAAACTCTTTCCTTTTCTCATAAATCTGTTCCTCTGACTTCATCCTGCTTCTTCATTACCCACATCGCCAAACCCTACTTGCATAAGCTCGCGATCTCAGAATTGTATTCCAGCCTCTGTGGCCTCAACCCTCCATACTTGGAATCAGGAGATCGACTTGATTCATCATGTATGTTATTGCTGTCCTTTCTCTTCCCTTCCAACTGAGTTACCCAAGTTTGAGTCCTAATTACTCCCTTGTAATGGTCATCTGTTGGCCATTAGAAGCCTCCATTTCCCTCTTCTCATAACTTTTATACTCTGGTTTTCCTTTGAGAAATCAACTGCTCCTAACCCTTAGCTCAACGGTAAAAGCACACACCCTAGTCTAAGTTAAACAATCATTCCATTCCCCAGACCACTGTGGTTGCATGTAGCTGTGAGAAACGGTCAAGTGACTCCATTTGAGGCAATGAAAAGCCACGAGAAGTCGCCTGAGACTTCTGAGAAAGAGGTACAGGACCTAGAAACCTGTGGTCACCCTGGGACCATACGAGGCCTGAGCACTGTATCAACAAATGAGGAAACAGTGCCAAGAAATCAAGTCAGAGGGAAAAGAGATCTCTTGACATCATTTAAGTCCCGGGTAAAGCTGTGCCTGAAGTCACATTTCATTCTTGGATTGTTCGGCTATGTGAACTCCCTTAAGTTAGACTGAGTTGAGTTCTTAGTTGAAAGGAAATATACATCCTTGATGGTCCTTTGATGCAATAGCTTGATAACTTATGTACTAGCTATCTTCTTCAACATGTACATCATATTTCTTCTCTAAGTGGTTGTCAGAATGCTCTGATCAAAATACATTCCCTCTCAAAAACCTTCTGTTCCCTACAGCTGAGGCCCGCCACTTGCTCACTGTCTTTAATATGTAATGTATTTCTGATCTCCTACCCTAGGGGGCATCCTCCTACACCCTCTACTTCAGCACCATTGCACTTCACACTTTTGGCCTTTTCCCATCCCTATTCCTTTAATTACCTAGATATTTGGTCAAGAGCCCTGTTGGTGCTTACTGAGTGCCAGGCACTGAATGCCGGGGACTGAGCTGCAAATCAAACACATCATAACCTTTGTCCTTAATAGAGTGGATCAAAGGGAGAAAAACAAAGCAGAGAAGGGTGATGGAGGGTGCTGGGGGGAGAGAGGCCACAGAGAAGCTGATATTTTAGCAGAGAATAGAGGTTGATGAAAGTGCTGGAGGAAATTATTCCAGGCAGAAGGGAAAATAATAATAAAAAAAAACAGTGAAAATCTTGATTCAGGATCAGCAAGGAGGTCAGTGAGGTTGGAAGAGGGTGAGGAAGGAGGCGAGTAGTAGGAAGTGGGTCAGTGAGGTGGCCAGGGCCAGATGTTGTGATCCTCATGGGTAATGTTAAGGGCATCTGTTCTCATTCTAAGTGGGATAGGGAGCCACTGGAGGGTTGAGCAGAGGACTGACAGGAACTGACATCACTGACTATTGACTTGAGAATAGATATCAGGGAGGCAAGGGGAGGCCAGAGGGAAGCCAGAAAGGAGCTGCTGAAATCATCCAGATGAGAGACGATGGAGTGATGAAGCAGGAGGATGAAGTAATGAGGAATATCTGGATGCCGGGGAGAGTGAAGATAGACGGACTGATAGAGAGAGGAACAAGAAGAGGGAGGAGAAAGAGAAAGAGAAGAAGGAGAAGTAGTAGTAGTAGTAGAAGAAGAAAGGATAACTTCAATGCCTGGGGCCTGGGCAACCAGAAGGATGGCTGGCCGTCGCCTGGTGTGGAGAAGCTAGAGGAGGAGGCGGCCGGGGGACAACATTAGGAGTTTGGCATATTAAGGTTGAGAGGCCTGTGAAACACCCATGTGAAGAAGGTATCTAATTGGCAGTTGGGTTTGAGGGTCTGGAGCTCAGGGGAGAGGCCCGAGCTGGAGATAGAAATTTAAGAGACACACACAGATGGCAATTAAAGCTGTCTGACTGTGCAATGGCCTGGGGATGAAAATGGGAAGGAAAGAGAAGAGGGCGGGGCTTTTAGGTCAGGGTTGAGAGCTTCCATTCTCTTACTTCATAGAGCAAATTAAACAAATCAAAGGACCAAATGACTGATACTTTCTGCCGTAATTTCTGCAAACAACATAACACATCAGATATGCGCTATTATATCAATGTCTTTTAAAAATACCATCTAAGGGGTGAAATTAAGGAGAGAACTCATTGAAAAATGAACAGTGGGGCAAAAGATAATATAGACCAAAAATGTAGACCTAGAACCCTTTTAACAAGAATCTTCCATAACCAAATTAGGAAAAATGCATACACTTCCCTTTAATTCTTTTCACTGAAATTTACTATGCTTACACATGTCATAAAAAGTTTTGTCCCAAGCATCAAGCCATTCCCACTAACAAATAACTGGCCAGAGCACATGTCTTTTCGAGTGGTGCAGGCATCATAGTATTAATTCTACAAACGGAGATGGATATGGCTAATGATAAATTATCTATTTGGATGCATTAGTACAACAGGTTAGAGGATGTATCATTATTGTAAAAATAACTGTCCATACATTTTGTTAAAATATTCTGTAATTCTGTACAATTTTTACTCATTCGACTAGCTTTCCAAAACCAAACAGCAAACTCACTGTCATCGAGTTAATACCAACTCCTAGCGACTCCCTTTGGGTTTCCAAGGCTCCTTTACAGAAGTAGACTGACCAACCTTCCTTCCACAGAGTGGCTGGTGGGTTGGAACCACCAACCTTCTGATTAGCAGTCAAATGCCTTAGGCACTACGCCACCAGAGGTCCAAGTAGTTAACTAGCCTTAACCATCAATAATTTATTGAGGTGTAGTCCCTGGGCACTGCAAATGGTTAAGCCCTGTGCTACTAACGGAAAGGTTGGCAGTCTGAACACAGTCAGAGGCTCTTGGGAGGGAAGGCCAGGCGATCGCCTTCGGAAAGGCCTTGAAAACCCTACAGAGCACAGTTCTCCTCTAAAACAC